TAAAATCAAAATAAATAAAACAATATAATGGGAAGGTTAATCAAAAAACCTAATGAATCTCAATAAAAAATTATCTCAAAATTTTAATCAGCTATTAAATTTCTTCTCTTATTCAATAATATTTAATATCATGGATAATGGAATATTTCTAATAATAATTGTCAATGATAAAATGTATATATTTATGTTATATAGATTTACGGCCACTTTTCATGAAAATGGTAGTCATTCATGGGCGGCATGGCTATTTTTACTTAACAGTCGTAAAACGGTTGACTACTTCTCCCGAGATCAATGGGACCCCTATTATTAATTAATACCATAATCAATATTATGTTCTTATCTATAAATTCTTCAAAATTTTTATTTGTATATTTTTTTAAGTTCCATGAACTTGTTATCAAACACTGTATTTTACAAATATATTTATCTGTTCTTGAAAATCAAAATTAAATTAATTGGAATGAATAAAAAAATAATAATATAAAATAATATAAAAATAACATATAATATTAATAATAACTAATAATAATATAAAATAATAACATATTATGTTGATTTCATGTTAATCTGTAAGAAAATGAGTTAAGTTAGTTACTTAATTTACCAGTAATGAAATTAGTTAAATTAACATAACTTTTAACTTATTAATTCATAAATGCCCAGATTTGGTTTTATATATTTTTTATGGGTGGGAAAAATATTATTTTAAAAATGAGATGAAATGAATTATAGTTTTGTAAAGAATACAAAATCATCAAATGGAAAAAATATCCTTTATAGTACTTATCTAAATATATGCTACAGCATATTGGGCTGTTTTACATATTATGATTTTGTAAATCTATTTCAAATAAGAAATTTAAAGATAAATGTATTATGATAACAAATATTATTAATTTAACATGGTAAAAATATACATATGGAAGCAGTTTATGTATAGTTTTATATAACACAGTATACTATAATGATACATAGCAGGGATAGGCAACTTAGATTTACTAGAGGGCAAATTTTTAGAAAATTAAAATCTAGCGGGCCAGAGAATGGAAAAAAAAGGTCATTTAAAATATTAATTTTAATTAGTATTTATATACACGGAAATAATAAATTCAACACACACGATAGCACGACACGAATGATACGAAGAAACTGATATAGATAAATAGTGTTGTATAAACACCTATGGTTGGTTAGTTATACGTATACTTATATATGACATTTAGACATTTAACAATGTTTAATATTAAATAATAACTATTAGATGGATCAGATAGAATATAGACGATAAACTTTAAAATTGTATGATATTATTTGAAAATATAGTACGGGCCAAATAAAAAAGGCCCGTGGACCGCCAGTTGCCCCTCCCCCTGATATATAGTTTTAAATAATTATTTTGAGAAGAATTAGAATATAACGTTGAAAATAAGTTGGTTAAATTTATTTTCAACTCAATTGTGATATTATGTAAATTTATCAAATAATTTATCAACAAATATAAAATTGGATAATTTAATTTTAAATAAAAATATAGATTTTTTTTTATGACACCCAAAAAAATAATAAATTTTGCATAAAAAATATGTAAATGAGTATGAACATTTTAACAGAACTATTATTACTTATTGGTTATCAATTATATGTTTATTTTTAATTATGCTTAAAATATATTTAAATATTTAAAATATTAAATTTTAATTCAATAATTGTTTAATAAAATTAATGTTATTATTCATAATATTTAAGGAATATAACTTATAATTAAATAGAAACTTTTAATTATATTTTAAACGACAAATCCACATTTAATGAAATCTATTGTCTTGATAGGGAACAGCTTTTGATTATTGCATGTATATTTATTTTTCCTCATCATTTATATTCACGAGAATTTTAATTTTTAATTAAGTTACATTTAATATTAATGAAGAGCAATTATACTTTTTTTTTTTATCAAATCTTAAGATTCTTTATCTAATTTTGTCACGATAATTTATGACATTATATTGAGCATATTAAATTAAATAAATAAAAATAAGTGTATTTATTGAAAAATTGAACTTTTTAAGTATTAAGTATTTATTTTAATTTACATAAAATATTTCATTGTCAATTTGAATAAATATAGCAAGAAATACCCTCACATATAATTTATTCTTTGTATTAATTTTTGAATAAAATTTTTTAAATTTAAATACTACATATAAGAATACAAAGAATATCATATGTTAAATAATTTTAACAACTTAAGTAAATACACATAGGTAGAGTAAACTTTTTTTTTTTTTACTATTAAACATTATCCAAATTACAAAACTATATTGCATTTGATTATAAATTACTTGGAATATTGTGTATTGCAATTTTGAATAGTGAAAAATAATTGCAATCTAAATGTGATTTTAAATAGAGTGAGTTGCTCATTGATACATTTATTATGATAAACTAAATTTCTTACATGAGAGAAACGAGGAATGTATTAAATTTGTCATACTCGTAATGTGTTTTTATTTTATTATGTGTATATTTACACTATTTTGATCAGAAGGATCATAACATGCATAAGATATTTCTGACAGGAAATGCTGACTCATTGGTGCTCTTAGGGGGCTATTTTAGGAATTTCTTAACAGTACTCTTAATAATTGCAAAAACCAGGCACGAAAGGTGAAAAAGTGATGAGGTGTACAACATACCGGTTTTCAACAAAAATTAAACTTTATTATAAAACTAAATAATAATATTTGACAAAAATCCATAAAATATTAAATTTTTACAAATGATTTTAAATGTTTTTTTTTTATTTATTTATTTATTTATTTTTGTATACTTAACACTTAAAAACTGAATATAAGATTTTTATAAGACTTTCTTTGTAACAGAAAAAAAACATTAGAAATTCGCAAAAATAATATTTTTTATACAAGCCTTACAAAATGAAATTATGACGAAATCGGATATTTCAATACATTTCTATTAAATCAGAATATATATTTAGTTGAAGACTTTTCATAGTTTCGAAATACTTTAATAAAGTTTGTAGACTGTTTATAGAAACTTTTCCAAATTTTAAATGTTTTTTTCTGTAGTAAAAGTTAGAACATTACAATTTAAATGTACATTAATAAGAAATTTGGTTCTTACGTTATATCAAAAATTTTTTATTTTAACTGATCCATTCGACCTCCTACTCAGAATCATTTTTTCAAAAACAAAAGTACATTGGTTTTAAGTTAAAAAAAGCAGTTATATCGTTCATCCATCCCTGTATTTCATCTAGCTGAGAAATCTCATATGACCTAAGATTTTCGCTTTTCTTATTATTTATTTAAAACAAATCATGGTTAAAATATTAAAGTCGACAAGGTTAAATCGATATAATACTTACAAATTATGCTATAATTATAATAAAAAAACTCACAGATGTTTAAATATTAAAATACATAATTTACAGAGTATATACATTTATGCACTATATGTATTGTATTTTATCTGTTTAATCAAGAACAAACTAATTCATAGACATATATTGTAAGCAATTAATTTGAAAAAGATCCGCAAATGCATTGAGATACTAGGTTTAATTATATAGTTAAACTGTTATAGCCATAAACTGTTATTTTCCATACATATTGAGACAGTATTCGTTGGTCATTTAAATTTACACTGATAGGCTAAACCTATTATTTGGTATACTTAATTTTCAATACCGTTTTAAAATATTTTGTAATTGGTCAATAGTATAATATTATGTTACTTGACTAACATTTTGTTTGGAAAATATACACCGGGATACCTCTTTTTTTTATATACCACTAATATTAATATTTAAATTTGATTATAAAAGTAATAAGTATAAAAGTACACATTAAAACATTCAGATGGTATATCTAGAATGTGAATAGAAAAATGAATAATTGTAAATTTGTGCAGCAATTTTTAAACATTATACAATAAACATAATAAGAACAATTCTATCATTAACTGACTAACAGTATTTCTACATTTAGAAAGAACCATTACATTAATATCAATACAGGAAACTAAAAGCCAAAATATTGACGCACGATCAATTTATGGTTTAATATTTATTGTTCACTGTATACTATACAAATATATAATGTTTAGGTAAGTGTGTGTTTGTGTGTGCATATATTATTCGTATAATAATAATTTATTAATAATTGTAAATTAATATATATCAATTAAAAAAATAATATTAAATGGTTTATTGTTATTAAACTATGTGACCACAAATTGATCCTCGATAAGATCTGTTAGGTAAGAGTTGGATCGTTTGATAGCAGTGATTTTCTATACAGTTTCTGATCTAATAATATACTTCACTCCAAGACTTTAAACTGACAATCAAGACGTTTAACTTTGATTGGTACATACGAATTGTGGTGTCATGCATGGTGGTGGTGAATAGTGTATTGTAGTGTTCGCCGTACATGTCCATTTTCATTTTCAGTGCAAAAATATTTTAGAGAAAACCAAGAAGAGTTAAAAGTAACGTAGAAATATAGTAAATAGAGAACTGTGACGTCGGTAAAACTTTGATCGGAAACGGACGGCTGGTACCTAAAGCGTTGTGGTACGATGATGTTCGAAGGGAAAAAAGTAAATACAAATTTTTATATAATAATGGGACGTGAGCACATCATTTGAAATGCGTTGAAAATTGAGCGGTATAAATCGTATAATTAAATGATTGCAAAAATAAACCTTTGCGTAGCACAAAGAACCATGTCGCCGCAGCCGCAGTTCAGACGCGCTTGCATTTTTTTCCATACGAAATTTTTCCCCGTTCGCGAACTCTGTATAATATGTGTATAATAAAAACGAGAGAAAAAAAAGAAATAAATAAAAAAGGAGAAAGAAATATGCGCACCGCTACATCAACCGTTGAGCACCACCGCCACCGCTACCGCGGTAACCACGGTTACGCGCGTTGTGTGCGATTGTCCACGGAGCCGTGGTGCGAAGCGCAAGTCCCGAAAGAGTGCAGTGCCGCTACGACCGCCACCGGACGCGGGTAACCATTGTGTAAGTGTTTTATTTTTCCGTTAGACACTCGTGCGCTCGTTTTTTTTTTTCGGACATTTTTTTTTTTTTTAGTTTTCACCGTTATATTCTGTAATCCGCGTTAAAATTCTTTAGGTCGCGGGGCACGTGAGTTAATTAATGATAATACTGGCGTTCACGCCCAATTGATATCATTCAAAAACGAAACTTTGGTTTTTTTTTTTCGCCTTATTTATTCGAACGGTCGCTACCGGTGCGAGGGCGCGCTCGCGCGCGAGCGTAGTTAATGGATATATTTCAGTAGCCGTCGTGGTGTCGAGACGATGTGCGTGTGGATTTCCGTAAATGGATTTCGCTGGGCCCGACGGACGACGACGAAAACGGCAAACCATGCGAAAACTAAAGGTAAATAACGAAAATAAAAAATACGATTTTTTTTTTTTATCGGCTGTATAAAAATAAAAAGATTTAGCGGGATGGTGTCCAATTTTAATACCACTGTGCGTCTCGTGTCTGCGGCACGAAGTTCGCGAGTGATGGCAGCCAATTATTATTACCGTTTTATTATTATTACAACACAAACATGCATGTATATGTACTCAAAGCTCTCACACAAGCATGCACACACAGTACGCATAATAATTTTGCGTGTGCGCTTCTCAGCATTATCGCAATATTAATTTTAGGTATATATACCGTGAATGCGACGACCGACGACGATTTGGCCGTCTCACTAGGGAGGGCGTGTACGCGCGGTGACCAAAAGTGTCGGCAGACGGTCAGACACGAGGTATTAAACAGAGATTTAAAAAACAATTGCACGTTAGAAATATTTTCCGACTAGTTAGGATATAAAAATTCACATTGATTCGTATTCCGGAATAATTAAAATTTAATTATTTACTAAAAGTGACGATGACGAGAAAATTCGAAATGATATATTTTTTCTTCATTATAACACCTGTCGAGTGGTAAGAATTTGCTGTGTGTCTCATTGATAAACTAGATACAAAATAAGTATTGAGAGATTATTTTTTTTTTTTTTTTGATTTTCTCGGTTTATGAGACAAGTTGAACTTTACTAAACAATTATGTTAATAATTAAATAATGTATTTTTTATTACTAATTTGTTTTTATAGTAAGTGATAGGCAATTAAAAATGTTTTACTAGAATGCTTCAATTATTTTTTCTATAATTTTTTTATATGCTTATTATAACTATTACAACAAATTCACTTTATTTTTTAAGAAATTTATATTCTCTATTTAACTATAGTAAATAAACACAAGACAAAAATTAATATAAAATATTATATAATATATAAGAAAATAAAGTTTAGATGACAGAAAATCATGGGGAGGGAGGCTATCTAGTGACAGAACCTAGAAGAGCTAATAAGTGAATAAGTTTATTTTTTTATTTTATTTAAAATATCTCAATACCAATTTTTTTTTTTAAAACGATGAATCGGGTTGTTATGTAGTTTGTAAGGATTCGATGGAATATAAGGAAATTTTGGCGTTTTACATTTAATTTTAAAATTAAATGTAATATTGTTTGGTTAGTAATTCAACAGTTTGTATTATTTATGGAATGTGTTATTTGTGACGTACCATGGGGTAGAAGCAATGAAATATAGGGTATGGATGGAAATGATTCGTATGGTTCATGTATTTGATGATTTGGCACTACCCCAGATTTGTAAACTTTGCGAATTTTAATATAAGGCAAAGCTTAAGTAAATGTTTGTTTAATAATTCATGTTTAGATTTTAGGTATTGGCCTCATGTAATTAGGTAATTGATTATGTTCCTAATAATTTTATTTGTGAAATTTATGGAATAACAACACCTTTCAGTTGAAGTAATAAGGAGTTTTTTTTTATCGTATGAGTTAAAGATAGTGATCTGTATTAAGGATGTCAGATTTTAAACTACATACTCTATTTGATTGATGGTCTTTAGTGAGATATTTAAGTTTGTTTAGTTTTCTAGATTTTTGGAGAAATGGTTTCACTTAACGGGTCCTTTTGTTAATAAATTATGAGGGGAATCATAAGAAATTTGATTTTTGGTCACATATCAAGTCTTCTAAGTTAATAACTAAGTAGTTTATTTATCTGGGTATGATACATGTAAAAAAATCTAAAAATATTAGGATGTTGGTTCGGCCAATATGTTGGCGATATAATTGAATATCTGGTGTTTTGTATAATATTTTTAAACATATAAATTCTAGTGTTCTTGACCCAACAATTTCATCGAAAGTTCTTTAAAATAAAATCTTCACCAATAAAAAATAATTATATCGAGATAACTCAAAAATTGTTCTGTTTTTAGGTAGGATATTAAAGTTCTAGGAAGTAATATACTAAGAAAACTTGGTCATAAAAATTTATTTTTAAAGACACTGGGCAAAATGTTGTTTGTCATCGAATGGCTATTAGAATTATATTGGTGTCAATACATTTTCTCCGACGATGCTTATTCGTCGTTTTATAAATTACTACTTTGAAAATTCTTGTTGGAGTATTACATTTATTAGTTTTCTATTAAACCATATCAAAATACACGAGTATAATTTATTTTATGTGGATATGAATTTAACTGTAAATGTTTACAAGGTACATCATATTTTATCGGAAATTTTTAATTTATTTGAAGCAGAAAATTAGGATGTGAAGTTAAGAAAAAATATGTGAATATTGTAGCTTAAAATTTAAGTTGTACTGATATTATATAATTATAACTATTTGTTTATTGTAAATGGAGTAATGATATTTTTAATCTTACCTAAAATATTTTGTAAGTTAGCAGTATCTATTTATAATCAAGTTATGAATTCTATTCCCATAAATAAATTAAAAATATTATAAGAGGCATAGTTCAATACGAATATTTATAGTACTTTTATTTCCTTGTAAATTTGTTTAATTTTTGATTAGGTTGATAGGTTATATATTCTCTGATGATAATGAAATCGTCAATATTCTGTTTTTGTTGTGACAATTACCAAATTTCTTATATCATCATTATATAAAGCTCGGAAACCCTTAAAATATTGTGAGGGTCAATTTGTGATAAACTGGTAACATCAACGAGTAATTAGAGATTAATTAAATTAAATTAACATTTAATTGAATGTACTACTTTTGTTTTATGTACTTTAATAAATTGTTTGATTATTGTATGCACATTATGTACTGTACATTTTATTTTATTGAAATTGGTTGTGACCAAATGATAATAATTATAATAATAGTAATAATAGTAATAATTTTCAATTATAATTATTTATAATGTAACAGTTTTATTTTTATTTTTAATTATAATCAGGTTTAAATATATACGTTTAACTATATAATGATTTAATTTAAACTAATACAATAAGAGTTAATTACTAATACGATAATTTCAGATAAAAATAAAAATAAAAGGAACAATATATAATTTACAATAGGTAAATAAAATTATGCTAATAATTTAGTAATTGATGTATAACATAAATCAATATTACACAACTGACATCAGTTTATTAGCAGGAGAGTATATTTTGTTTTTAGAAACAGTTAAGCGATAGATAATGAATTTATTTTTAGAATTAAAATGATTAATTTAAAATATATACGTTAAATGAGTTCAGAACAACTAATGTGATTATGGAGTAATTTAAATAAATATTTAATTTTTAGTAATTAAAACCTTTTATTTAAAAATAATAGTTAATATTGACATTCCCTGAATGAGGAATTCTTTGAAACCACATTTATAGCATAAATACTATAAAAAAATGTTTTGACCAGAACCAAAACCAATAAAATTGTGAAGGTTCCAGTTTCTATGTTTAATACAATAAATTCCATATTGAATTTGTTATTTACTTAGTTATTTACTTTAAGTTAATAGTAGAACCAAAAGCACATATTATTAAAACAAATATTGAACAAAACAAAAAAATTATTTAGTCATTATAGATCATTACTTGATTTTATAAATACAATTTATACAGAAAAACAAAATTCAAGAGATTGTTGGTTTTTTGAATTGTGACTTGCATTTTTATACTTATAAATTATTATCTGATTCATCTGGTTTCACCCAGAAATTATTTTATTTTTTTATATTGTATTGCAGAATAATTATTTCTTATTAGATAGTACTATTTCGAAAAGAAAAAAATATTTTGTTTAAAAACGCATACTATAGTATTTTATTCAAATGATATTAGTTCCATTATTCATACTATATTCATTCAAATATGTTGTCATAAAAATATAAAATTTATTTGTAAACAATACTAAACGTTACTTGGTTATGTATATACACACATGCATTGATTACTGAATAGATAAGCAAGCAAGAAATAAAGAATTTTCTATAAGTAAAACTGTAATTTGTGATATCATAACCTACAATCTTTAGGGGCTATTCCTAATTATAGCTACGGTATAAATAAGATTTATAGGAAATTGACATTCATGAATTCAAACAGGTATTCGTTAATAATTATTGGTGTACTAGAAATGCCGAAAATAATTTTCGATTGAATCATGTTATAAAGTTTTGCTATTTTGCATAATTTTGGTGTTTTTGTGTATTCCAATCATCATAAAAATTATTTTGTGTGGAAGAAGTCTTGATGGATTTTTTACAATTCCGCTTTGTTTTCTAAAATAAAAAAAAATAAAAAATAAAAAAACAATGGACAAATAGGACTAGTAGTTACAGAATCAGCTCTATACAATAATTCTAATTTTCACTATTATTTATATGAGATGTAAAGATATTATACATAAATAATATACATATATATATATATATATTAGGGTGGTCCTTATTTTTGAACTTTCAAAGTTTTCATTTCTCACTTTCTCATTTTGTTTATTATTATAAGAATAAAATTTGAGTTAAATTTGGCCATTATTGCTAAGCCCTTCACATGCCAAAAGAGGGTTGAAAAATGACAACATAGGGTTGGTTAGTCATTTTTTGAATCACATATCTGCTTAAATAAGGTTTGTTTCAACACTCACAAACTATCATTGAATTGGCGAGAGAATGTGCAGTAGAATTTTTTCGTTTCAACACACCTAAAATTGAAACTCAAACTATCAGATAGTTGGAGTCCAACACGCCATATTCCAATTTTAGGATTGGACATTGATAGTCAAAATAATACACTAAATGTATTAAGAACTGTTAGTTAAAGACACTATTATTAATAAATATCATTAGTCATCATTAATTCAATATATTTCTTATAAATTGGGCGTGTTTGAATTATTATTCAACGTTTGTAATCAATATTTTGTTTTGTTACATAATGTTTTAAACGTAATAAAGTGGTTTGTGGACATATCCTTAAACATACAAAATATAAGTACTTATTTAATTAATCGGTACT